GAAGATGATGTTCTCCACATCCTCGATGACATCGCTGCTGATCATGGTGAAATCAGCAGAGCAAAACACAAATGCTACTTCAAACTCTGGTTTGTGCAAGAAACACTGCAATCAAATGGTTGACATGTCACACATGCATGCAATGCAGTGACAATGAGGTTTGGTGGGCAGCAATGAAACAATGTACATGAACCTCACAAGTGTTGAGCAGGCCATGATATGACATGAGCAGCCTTGCATATGCCAAATACAGGTGGTTGCAAGTGACAATTCAAACCACATGACAATTAAGTGGTTGCAAGTGTTCTCAATGCTGCATGATGCACATGGGTTACTACACAAAATGCATGTCAAAAGGCATTGCTGAAGCCTCAATAGGCCAAACAGAAACACATAACAATGACAAAACCCGTGCATGAAATGTTGCATGAATTATTGACCCAGGGCTTAAGGCATGCTTCTTTTCACACATCATACATCAGCTCATTACCAATCCATGGACATCAAGTCCAATATATGTACAATGACACCAGCTTGATACCTGGTGAAGCCCAGTTGATCTTCCAATCCTCTGGCAATGGTGATCCTGAACACTGTCGCAAATGGTTTCCCACACAAACTACTTATACATACTTTCATGATATGTTAAAACTTGATTTTAAAAACTCTTCTATATGCACAGTCCAAACCACCTTTCTTCCCAAAGGTTCTCATATTTGGCTGAGAGCCACCATGTACCATGCCAGAAGCCAATGCTAAAGCGAGGTTGTCCTTCATGCCACCACTGCATTTTCATATGTGCTGGGAAGAGGGCAAGCAATGCCTCTTCAGATCTCAAGGGCCAATACTGCATGCTGGCAGACATTGGATCTGCATTGCCCATGGCTGAGTCCATGACAAACAATGACAAAGTGAAAGGCAGCTGCAACAAATCTTGAGCACAGAATCTCACATGAACATGAACATTAACACATGTCAACCCACATGTCTCTACCCACACATGTCCATGACAACATGCACATGTAAACCTATACAAGCAACAAACACATGAACATGACAAATCACAACTAGCATGCATGCTCTCTACATGGTAAAGCCACCAGGCTTGGACATGACATGGTGACCAAAAAGTCAAAAAA